TCAGGGAAGTCAATAGGGTCGGATGAAAGATTCCATCATGCCAACGTGTTTGGACACGTTATCTCCCGATGACAGATTGATCGTGCTGGCCCCCTTTTTCCGTCGCGCTATTTTTACACAACCTCCCTCACTGTCATTAACCCTGAGTTGCGGAAGGGAGCAACGAGTATGTTGGGAAAGAAAATGTACAAGATTCGAGTGTCCTGGTGTCACTTTCATTCAGTCGAGAAGATGGAAGTTGCTAGCACTGCCGCTGCGCTCGTCAAGCCCAACTATAATTTCGCCCTCGCGTTGTTCACCGAGAAGGAACGCAGGAAGACTTTCAAAGTTGTTCCTGCTGGTTACGTGAATGTGTCGGAGCGCGTCAGGTGGGGATTCTGGACGTCGATCCCAAGCCCGCATCGACAATACAGGACAACTTGGAAGAATTATCAAAGCTCATCGTTTGCTGTGCATTTTGCCGTGGGAAATGCAGTTTGAAGACCTTCTTCATCACCAGCGAATCGAGTGAAACCATTCGTTCGCGACATCGTCATTTACCTCCTGGCTACGCAGCATATTCCACTCCGCCAAGCGTCTACCAATGTCATAAGGAAATGAATTGGTTGTGTCCCCTGCTGACAGGCAAATGTCTTTCGAACGTGGAATTTTCTCCTCGTGCTCTGAACAAGGGTTATCCATCTGACGATGAAGATTTCATTCCCAACTGGAAGAAGATGCTGTGCTCTGCCGGACGACTCTGGTCGTTCGAGTTCTTCCCGAAAAGATACATCGTATCAAATGGTGAAATGGCAAGATGGGGTCTATATTATACGGGAATCCGCGATGAGACGTCTTGCATTTTTTGTCGTCTGATCCTTCACAACTGGGAATACGGAGACAATACGTACGAGGAACACCGTAGATTTCCCCCCAACTGTCCATTGATTAGAGGACGTAACGTCATGGATATCCCATGCGAGAACTCTCACAATCCTGACGACATTAAGACGGAAAAGGAAGGAAAGGAGATGATCGACGCTCTAAACAGACGATCTCCAACGAGTTCCTTCAAATCGGGTAAGTTCGTGTCTCCCTTTTTTTTTTCATCAGGTAACGAATGAACTCTTTACTGATTCATTTCCTCGCCTACAGACGCTTCTTCTGAGCTGATCGTTGACGAAGGCGAGGATTCCCACCATTCCTCAGGAGCAGTCGAACAAGGAGGGGAGAAATAAAGACAGTGTCTTCGATCGCCCTCGACTGCTACAAACATACACCAACTCGGACCGATTTTTATGTTTCTCTGTATATGCGGCACACTTTGTTTCATGCTTACTCTTGTTAATATAGCACATCTCTCGAAAGTTAAAGAATGCACTAAGTTCAGGCATGGAGTATTAATTTCAGGATGGTCGGATTACGCAGGTCACGCAAGATGTTCGAAATGATCTTGGTTTCCTTTTCCTCCCAGTGCTAAATTGGGCTTGGACCCTAGATCCATGCCTTGAGGCCGGACCCCATGTAAAGTCCAGTATTTTCAGGACCTTGTTGTCTTAATAGAACATTTCAGGTACCCGGGTTAATGTTCATTCTAGTGCCCAAGTGCCAGACGTATAGGCACTAAGTCTTATCTTAATTATAATATATTGGCCTAATCACTAATGGGGTGGTCAACTTGACCCGGGTCTGGGTCAAGCGACCCTAACGCCACCTCTGGGCCATTCCGCGTCCGACTCACTTTTGTGTCCGCGATACTACAATACCATCATCCTTACCATGAGCACTATCGTAATCATATCCAAGATGAATTATTACATAGAATAAGATGTCAACCTATGTCATACCTGGTTGAGGTGTGTGCGTCGATGACGGTCTCGATCTCCTTTCTTGCTAAATCGCCGCCCGCACTCAGCACATGGCCACTTTCTCTTTTTCTACATGCTCAAGTTGCTAAAGTTGGGTATGTCCTTTGCGAAAGCTTTAGAGATTAACCTGGTTCTGACACTCATGGGCTACTTTGATACACATATCGAAGTCACTGGAGACAGACAAGTATTTACAAGATTTCCTCTTTGAACATCCGCTCGGAGTATAAATGGGGAAATCTCGCAGTGAAGTCGTGCAAAATGGATTTGTGCACGATCGATGCGGTTTTGAGACACCATCCCGCTTGTTCGGGAAAATATCGCGGGACCTACGCATCAGATCAATTGGAGAAACTATCGTTCCCAAAACTTCCCAGCATGTATCGTTTCCAACTGTTGCAGTCGAGAGAAACGTGGACGACATTTCGTTGCAATGTTCCTCGAGAAAAAGGGTCAAGTGGAGATTTTTGATAGCTTCGGTCGGTTTCCGGGTTTTTGTGGGCACGCCCATGAGATTTGTGAAAGATTTGTGAAAGATTTGTGAGCAAGCATGGGGGAAAATCGGCTTTCTACAGCGACGTTCAAGTTCAGAGCTCAAGATGCAAAAACATGTGGGGCCCAGGTCATCTTCTACCTCATTCATCGATATCTCGACGACAACATGAACGAGATCTATCCCCTTCATCTTCCCCCATCATGACACTATTGTGAACCGTTTTTTGCCGACCCTCTCATCAGAATTAATAAGCAAATAAATAAATTGCACATCTGCAGTTTCATTTGCAAATATCTCCATTGCAAATATAAACATGCCTTTGAGTAAAAATGATCTTTTTCTCGTTCGCACGAATCCCGCAATGAGCAGGATTAACACATTATCTGGTTCGCACATCATTAGACAGATGGAAATGGTCATGAAGTAAATGTTTTCCTTCCATTTCCCCGCTACTGACAACAGAAGCTGATTTTGAAAAAAAAGCAAAAGCCACCATCACCTTGTAGCGTCTTTCATTCTGCCAGTTCCTCGTTTCTTCGTCCAGAGTGAGTTTGACCTGTCCCAACCTCTGTGAACTCCTGCCTCCCGTAAGTTCACAAATATTCGAATACTTTCCATTGCTTGCTGAGATGTTTCTAAGCTCAACTTTCCAATATCACTTTCCATAGATAATGCTCTTCATCAATTTCATTCTCGTTTTCAACATCAGCGAATGCAAGGCAGTCGCTGATTGGGTGAGAGATTGTGTTGGGGGAGCGATGATGGTAAACACCTCAGATAAAAGAGGTTTTTATATCAAGACCATCGATTTCCACAGCGGCTTTGAATAAAGCTGTCATTAAATCTTGGTTGGCGGGGACCCAATGTATGATTCACGTTTGGGCCGGTTTGCCACCATAGATCAAATCGGTGAAGAAGTTCGAAGAAATGGGAAGGTCATATCGAATCTCTTCCCTCGTTCCATTTTACGCTTAAAAGAATTAATATACCTTTCATTTACAGTTTTGGTGAAGATTGGGACAGAAGAGGAGGGAGAAGGAGGAGGAAAAAGTATTTAAAAAAAAACCTCATTAATCTACTGCTTCTTCATGAATAAAAAAAAAATCAGGGTAATCTATCATTGACAATGACTTAAAAAAAAAGACGTATTCGTTATAAATGCAACCAAATATGTGTTTAACGCATCTCGTCTTTCACATAGAGACACTCATGGCCAGCATCATTGAAGCTTTCTCTTCTGGTGGCATTTTTTTCAGAACTAGGATGAATGAACCATTATTTCGAAATAATTCTCTTTATTAGGATCATGTACATCGTCAGGGTGCACTCTGCGGAGGAGAGAGATAATGCAATGGTGCTGTTATCGGTATTAGCGCATGTGAAATTGGAGGCGACTGCTCCACCTAATATCGTTATGTTGAAGGAGATAATCGACTCCGGGAAAAGACCATCGAAGAGAAACTTGTGGCCAGCGCGATCAATCTGTCATCGGGAGATAACGTGTCCAAACACGTTGGCATGATGGAATCTTTCATCCGACCCTATTGACTTCCCTGATGCAAAACGGTAATGACGAGAGATTCGAGTCAATTAAACTGGGATTTTATGACGCAAGATTCATGCCATAATATTTTCCAATTCCAAAAATCGCTTCATAAAGGTACATGGATAATGCAAATCATCGTGCAGCCGATAATTCAACGTTAATTCACCGAGTACTCATATAAATCAATGATATACGGAGGTTAAATCATATGAAATTATGGTAATATAAGAAATAAGATATTGCGCCAGGCCGCAGAACATACCTTTTTTATACTACTCAGCAGTGCAGTTTCATTTGCTTAATGCATTTCAGACCCCAGTCGAGTGGCAGTTCACGAATCACCAGCAATAAATAGAACGTTTGCGATTCAATTGTTCTCCTGTCTATTCACAGGTATATCAGTGATAATCACTTTGGCAAATCTAGCTTCATATCACCACGACCATGGCCGGAAAAGACAAGGGATACGAAATCGTGAAGAAAACCATCTACGCGGAAGATTAATCCTTTTATCTCCCGATTTAAGGTCATTTTTACTTCAATCAGAACAGATATTCATTTCAGGTTTAATTGTCAACGGAAGTCCTCTTCAGGACAAAACATATCATTAAACTCATGTCAGCTGAGAGCCGATCATCTTTGCTCTTAATAGCGAATGCAAACTTGTATCATCTCTGAATCATATTCACTTGCTTTTAACAGGGAATGTAAAGTCGATTTCCCAGGAAGCAGAGATGCTTGAAGGGTGCCGACAAAAGATGAAATAGGCAAGCTGGAATTATCCTTTCAAGATGGAGTGGAAGTATTTCATGAATGAAAAAATGATGAATAGAAAACTTGTACGTGGTCTTCAGACAGACATCGGAGACCCAGAGGGATCCAACTTGGTTGGATTCAGCTGCGTTAAAATTGGCCTCTGGCCATAAGGAAGTACCTCGCATGCTGTTCGTTTGCCTGTCGCATGAGGAGATGAAATGCAACGTCAATGTCAAGGTTTCAAAGTTTCAAGGTAGTTTAGCGGTATCAAGAGGCGATAACATCCATTTGGATATCACGTATCGAGGTCGAGCGTTCTTTAATTTTAGGGTATCATTTCCTGCGACCTTGGAGACTGCGATCTGACTGAGCTTAACCACCGAACCTTCGCGGCGGCCATTGCCATCCATCAGAAATGGGTAAGACGAGAAAAGCGCTTCGAAAAGCGAGAAAAGGTTCCGCCTTGGAAGAGGCGCTTCCCAAAGTCGGATCGATGCAGCAAGGCTGCATCCTCCAGGAGATGAAGAAGGAAAACGCGCCCCGGAAAGTGAAGCCGACCTACAAGCGTCTGTGCCCCAAGTACCAGATCGCCTCCGATTCCGATCTCCCGACCGCCATAGAGAACGTGAAGATGAAGATCCAAGCTTGGGCCCCGAGGATAAGGCGGTACACGAAAAGAGTCAATTACTTCCGGCATAACGAGCGCTTCGCGAACGACCAGAAGCAATTCTATCCGGAACTGGGAGCGAAACCCATAGAAGTGAAGAAGAATCCTGGCAAGGCGGAACTGGAAGAATTCTGGTCGAGCATCATGGATTGCCCGGTGAGCCACAACGTCGATGCCACATGGCTCAGATGGCACAGACAACAAGTGACCCCCAGATTGCAACATCTGATCTGAAGAAGGCGCTCGAACAAACAGCGAACTGGAAGAGCCCCGGACACGACCGCCTTCCGAACTGCTGGCTGAAGCAGTTAACATCACTACATGAACAACTCGCCAGAGAAATGCAGGAAGTAGTGACGAACCCCTCGGAGATGCCGGATTGGCTCACCGCAGGAGTCACCTACCTACTGCCGAAAAACGCCGAAACGGAGCTACCTCGGATTTCCTCGGATTTACAGACCCATCACCTGCCTGCCAACCGTCTACAAGGTGCTGTCTTCCATCCTAGCAGCACGATTCGAACGACACATCTATGACAACAACATCATGTCGGAGGAGCTAAAGGAAAGGATAGTACGTTTATGTGCGCCATCTACAGCGTTCGCTGCAAGAAATGTCACATTTCTTATATTGGAGAGATCAACACCTCCTTCCGCCTCCGTTTTAACAATCATAAGTCTTCCATCCGGACGAAAACCTTCCTAATCATGGAGTTAGGTACAGATACCACACGATCAATCGATGAAAGACATTCGCATGATCATCTCTGCAGGTCCGTCACTCTCAGAGACTCGGGGAATCACCTTTGCAAGTGTGGTTACTTGCTCAGACCTGGATAGACCCAAGAAATTCACCATAGCTGAGCTAAATAACAAAGTCGTACTTGCCAAACTTAGTCTGCCTGTACTCCAGTATGGCGCGGAGGCGATGTCCCTCGATCTGTGACGTCATGCGTAAAGATCCTTTGGGGGATCCAAACAGATTTTAATGCGACGCAGCACGAAACCGGATATATGTATGAG